CTAAATAATATTTAAAAGGATGCACTGCTCTAAATGCTCTGAAGGAGGAGCTCTCCCAACATTCTAGGCACTACTTACAGCCTTTCAGGGAACTTACTTTTGGTACGTTTTCTAGGCTGTTTTAAGAAAAAAATCAGCAGCCTTACTTAATAATCATACCTTTCAGATTGTCCAAATACAAATTATAGATCATCTAGTGAATCTGAGCATTCCAGTGGTAATCCAAGTCCCTCCCCTTTCAAGTCAAGTTTATATAGCCAGGAAGTTTCCAAATCCATAATGTCATTACAGGTTATTGATATTGTGGCTGCAAGGACCATTTAAGCATCTGAGACACAGAAATGGTCTTCAGAAATGGCCCCGAGTAGATTTCAACAAGCATCTAGAGGTCCCAGGTGGTACATCTCAGTTAAATCTGGACAGAAGCTGCTGAAGCCTCCTATTCCAGACTGACAGCCTGGGTGTGGTTGTCGGTAGGCATCTCTTTGTGAGATTGCTGCTCCAGCACATGGGGCTTGAGATATCAGCAAAATTCGGGAAAATAAGAAAGGAATCTGGGAGTGGGGGCACTCTCAGCTAATGAAGCTAGTGGTTCCACCTTCCCCATGGACTCTTCATAATAGAAATGTAAAACTCCTTTGAAGGCTGGGTTCCAATCATTCAACCCCACTGGCCTCTGATTTCATTTAGGAAGAGAGGCTACCAGAAGGAAAGAGAGTTAAGAATCATATCCAGGAACCATCACCCCCAGATGCTATCAATAACCTTCTACCAATCAGATTAACCTTGAGAATAAGAAGGAAAAGAAAAGAAAATATGTTAAATTCCTATCAGGTCCTCCTCATTATCCACAGTGAAGAATCAGAGACGGAGATTTAGAAACTTGCCCAAAATATTACAGGGAGTATGTTGGAGCTTGTGGTAAAGAAACAGTCTGTCTTAATGCAAAGTCAACATTCTTCCTACCACACCATACCAAGAGCCGCTTTTAGAGAGGCATTTAATATGTATCGGTGTCCCCTAGAGCAGCTCTTGGGTATCAGCTCTAAGGTGAGTTCATTGAGAAACCCCAAAATCAGGGCTACTAAGAGTCCCAGTGCAGAGAAAATGCTTAGTTGTTACGACAGGCACAGCCCCACTCAGGCCCCAAGGCAAGTCCTTAGGAATTCCATTTGAACAGGAAGCCAAAGCAGAACTACTCTAACTTAAAGAAGCACCCCCCACCCTTGTACAGGATGAGCTGTGGAAACAAAATTCAGCTGACATTCAGTGAAGAAAACCAAAAGCTATCACTTTCACAGATGCAATTACAGTTATTTTTAATATTCCAAGTTACTGCTTCTGCCTCAAGACAATCCTGTCACCAATAATGCACAAGTTTCACCAAATGGGCCCAAAATCTAAGAGAGCCCAGAGCAGTATAAATGTGGAATAAGCAGAGGGTGATAAAATTAGTAGAATAGGGCAGGAAAGAGGCTCAGACCCAGAGAATTGGTGTAGCAGAGACCACGTTCTAGCTCCAGGCTCCAGAGTTCTGTTTCGCTGGACCAAGCTGCCTTTCAGAACCCAGGCAGGCCAAAGTCTTTGCAGGTGTCATCCAATGGATCCTTAGAGACCATCATTCCTTTCCAAACAGTGGGGCTCTGGTAGGACTCTAGCTGTTCCCCAGAATTGTGGCTAAAATGGTGTGACATGAGTCCACTTGCACTCTGACACGAACACCCTCCTTCTGATTAGTATAGAGGGAAAACTGGAGGACTGGTGAGCAAACTTACTTAAGGACACAGACATCACAACAAACCTGACTTAGGTGCACAACTCTGTGACTATACTAAAAATCACTGAATTGTACAACTTAAAAGGCTAATTTTTATGGTGTGTTAATTATATCTCAATAAAATTGTTATTTTTTTAAGAAAAAGAATCATGACTTGTCATGCTTTTGACAAAGTAGTATTTCTGCCTTTAAAGGCCTAGTTTTGGCTCCTAATTTAATTTATCTAACATGATTGAGTGCCTCCTATATGTAATAAATCTTAAGCAATCTCCACCAGTGAGGTCAGTGTTTTGTAGTGTTTACCACTATAAAAGTTGGGAAACTGAGGCTCAAAAGATTAGGTAACTGCCCAAGGAACACAGCCAAGAAAAGACAGAGCTGAGATTGGAGCTCAAATCTTTCTGACTTCTGAGTCTATTCTTCCCGTTATTATGCTAAACAAGTCAGAAAAGGAAGAGACACCTGAATACACAGAACACACAGAAGCAAGCAATGGAACTGGCTTCAAAGTTCTAAACTGGAGTTGCTATGCAAGGACGGCTTTAAAACCTGTCTTGGTACAGAGTCTGGGGTCTGAAAGTTGTCCTGAAATAGCGGTTACCACAACAAAAAAAAAGCACATTTCCAAAAGATGCCTACCATTGAAAATGACCACGATATCCAAGAGACAGCACAACTTTCTGTGTGGCCATTTTGGTTCTGGGCTCCCTGGCTATGAGATCAATGGATATATCTCAGTAGTATAACCATTATTTTGTGAACAGGCACCCATTCTAAGTATTTACTAAGTTCTAGGCACTGTCTAGATGGTGCGGTGAATAATGTAAGACAGCTTCGCAGGAGGGGCGCCCAGATAGAAATCGACCCCTCCCCCACATATGTGGTACAGATGTGGTTAAGCACCCAGCTTTCACACTGGACAGCATGGGTTTCTATCCCAGTGCTGCCACTTACTAGCTGTGATTTTGGACAAATTATTAAATTTCTCTGTGCTTTCCTTATCTGTAAAATGAGAATGGTGGAGTTACTGTAAAGAATAAATAGGTAAGTATGTAAAGCTAGCACGTGTAGCTGCTGTCTTTAGCAGCAGCAGCAGCAGAAGCAGCAGTATCACGTGCTGACAAAGTGCAGAAAAGCTGCCTCTCCATGCCTAACACAACTTTCTGATTATTTTCACTTCCCTAAAGTATTATATTTGATAGACTATGTATACAAATGATATTCTCCCAAAGGTCTAGGCCCAAAGCTGCCAAATAACCAATGGATAGCAGGATGCTAGAAAAATATCCCAAGAAGAAAACTCACTCTAGATTTGTCCGTGAATAGTTCTTGAAACATTACTTTTGTGTATAGCGTATTAACATAACTTTTATAGCTTAGAAAAGAGCCTTCGGGGAGCCAGAGAATATGTTTCTTGTCTTCCTGGCTGGCAGCACTTCTTATATCACTCTTTCATATTTTTTGTGCTTGGGTAGGCCTGATGCTCCTAAAACAGTGCATCATTTTCCATATAACAGGTATATGTGATAGATACACAAAAGTAAGCCAGCATAATGGTTAAGAGAATGGTTATAATAAGGTAGCTACAGGCCCAAACCCTGGTTCCTCCACCTACAGGCTGTGTGACCTTGAAGAGGACTCATGCTCCCTGAATGATTGCTCTTGGAATGAACAATAAAATATCATAGAAATGTTATAAAGATCAAATAAAATGATACATAAAAAGTATTCAGCACAATATCTAGCACATAGTAAACTCAATAAATGGTAGGTATTATTAATGCCAAAAGGTATGAATTAGGTAAGCCTAATGGCCTATATTCATTTTCAAGTGAATATACATTTACTGCACACCCGCCAAGTATCTTACACATTGCTATTTATTGTGGGTACTAGATAAAGGGAATGAACCACACATTCCCTTGTTTAGTCCTCTAAAACACAGTCTATTTTTCACAAGTGCATGACGCTAAAAAAAAGTGTTCTGTAACATGTCCTCATACTGAAAGCTGGGCCAGCACCATCCTTTCTGCAATCATATCAAAGATAAGAATGTGAAGAAGTAGGAAGATAAACATGGACAGAGGAGGGGTTAGATTTGATTAGAAATGAATCAGTCCATCCCACAGAGGGCAGCACCCACACATTTCTAGTTATATAAGGGCCACTATCTCAATCCACTGGTCACCCTGCAAGCTGCATCAAGCTTTATCCTACGTGTTCCTTTGGTGAACCAGGTGAGAGAAAATTCATCCAGCTATACTGATGAATATTTGGTTGATTGTTATCCACAGCAGAAATCCAGGAGTAAGAGCTAAGCCAGAGTTAATATATATTTGGCCTTTTCATCTCTTTTTCTTTTCTTTTAATTTTTTGATTAGTTTACTTTATCCTGGGGTCTGTTGTTGCCAAGATGAATAATGCAAGAAATTTGCCTTCTTCTAGGCCATTCCACATTCTCTTCCCAGTCTTTTGCATGACATTTTTTTTCTGGATTGCCCAGCTCAAATAGGGCGGAGGTCAGCCCTGGTGTAGAGTCCCTTCCCTGTTTAATGTAAGTCCTTGGGGCTCCAAGATCAAATCATCTACTAGTCAAGCTACTGCCTGCATTGCTGAGTCTTTCTTTCTGGTTACTGAAAAAGAACAGTGTTTGGTCAAGGCTGAGATTAGGATAGTACTTGAGCTCTGATAAGGGCTATCTCATGCTTCTGTAGCACCGTTTTCTATTTGCTGAAGGCCTTAGTAGTCCTGTTTAGCTTCTGGTGGCCAGAGGAGAAGTAGGTATGATAGAAATTCTGTCACTTTTAACTCAAGAGAACCAGTGAAACTAACCAGAGAGACTGGGACAATACATCTGAGTGGTTCTGGAAACTTTAGAAGCTCCAGGACAACACTCAGAACACCAAAGTACACAAAGTGTAGAGACATTATGTAAGGAATATATTCACCCAGGACATGGAGATCTGAGTGCTTATCCCAGTTCAGCCAGTAACATGCCATGACAATCTTAGCAAAGTAACTCAAAGTTAACAAAGTTAGTTATTACTGTGTTGACAGATCCTCAACCATTCCTTATTTGTTGTATTTGTCAAGTGTAAGAGACTTGAAAAACTAGAATGATTATTATTAAAGTTAGAATTACTTATAAATTTTTTAAAAAAGAAAATGAATAATAGGGTCTTTTGTTTCTTTTATCTTCAGGTACACTTTAACTTGCAAAAAGATGACCGACCTCTTAAGAAGTGTTGTCACAGTCATTGATGTTTTCTACAAATATACCAACCAAGATGGGGAGTGTGGCACACTGAGCAAGGATGAGCTAAAGGAACTTCTAGAGAAAGAGTTCCGTCCAATTCTGAAGGTGAGAACCATCTACCAAGATTGCTAGGGTCCTATCCATTCTCTGTTATGTGACCAAAGAGTAGCTAAAAACTGCACAGTCTCAGTAGTCTTTGGGCAAACTATGAGTGGTACTTCTTGGGCACATCAGAAAGTCTGTTGGAGCAGAATTTATTTTTATAAAGGTGATTTTTCCCTCATTTTCCTGTTTACCCCCACCATATAGACCTTCAGACTTTTTCATGCTCCCAGGTCTCCCCTTATGAAAAATAACAGAAAATAAATTTGTGCTAAAATATGAGTTAAAAGAAGAAAAAGTATAAAGAGGGAAATGTCTACAAGGAGATCTGACTAAGTAGCCAGAATTACTAAAAATTATAAACAAAAAACAAGCATTTTTTCCCCCATTTACTTGGGAAGGACTCAGCTAATAACTTTAAAATTATAGATTCTAACAAAGAATATATTAGCATGTAATATTTAAAATTTATGTAAAACTAAAATATACCAGGTACTAAACTTGATTTATTCAATTCCTTCTTTTATATACCTGAGTACCTAGTCCCCTACCTTAGGTCCTTGAATTGTACTCTGTTGGAGAACCCAATAGTTCTTTTCTATTACCTCTTCTCACCTGCTGGATCCTAATTATTAGGCTGCTTTAGCTTAAAGTAACCCTTGACTGGATTAAAAATACCTATTGTCGGGGCGCCTGGGTGGCGCAGTCGGTTAAGCATCCGACTTCAGCCAGGTCACGATCTCGTGGTCCGTGCGTTCGAGCCCCGCGTCAGGCTCTGGGCTGATGGCTCGGAGCCTGGAGCCTGTTTCCGATTCTGTGTCTCCCTCTCTCTCTGCCCCTCCCCCGTTCATGCTCTGTCTCTCTCTGTCCCAAAAATAAATAAACATTGAAAAAAAATTCTAAAAAAAAAAAATACCTATTGTCAAACATCCACAATTCCACAGCTCTGCTTGAATATTTTATTTTATTTTTTCTACTTGAATATTTTAGCTATGTGGGCTAAGCTGACCAGGTCTCCTTTGGTATGTCACTTGTATACAGAACCCAGATGATCCAGACACAGTGGATGTCATCATGCACATGCTAGATCGAGATCATGACCGAAGACTGGACTTTACTGAGTTTCTTCTGATGGTATTCAAGCTGGCTATGGCCTGCAACAAGGTTCTCAGCAAAGAATACTGCAAAGCTTCAGGGTCAAAGAATTATAGGCGTGGTCACCGACACCATAAGGAAGAAAGTGAAACAGAAGAGGATGAAGAAGATGCACCAGAACAGAAATCAGGTTACAGGCATTCAAACTGGAGGGAGGGAGAGGAGTATGGTTATGGTTCTGAGGGTTTGAGGCGAAGTGTGAAACACAGACATGGGTCAAATTCCAGGAGGCTGGGAAGGCAAGGTGGTTTATCTAGCTCAGAGAACCAAGAGAAATCTGAGAAAAGACACCGTGGGTCTGGTCACTCATGGAATAGTGACAAAGAAAGACATGGTTCCAGCTCTGGAGAGCTGGGGGATAGAAGAAACAAGTCACATGTTAGCCCCACCAGGGAATCTGGGAAGGAATATGAATCAGAATCTGGATCTGGGTCAAAGAGTGAGAGGAGGAAAAGTCATGGTGGTCTGTCACATAGACTGGATGCTGGTGGGCATGAATCAAACTCTACTCAGTCAAGAAATAGTGGAGGACAAAAGCTTGGGTCTAGCTCTAAAGGTTCAGAAGACAGTGGAAGACAAAGCTATGGATGTGGTTCCAGCAATTCGGGTGGGTGTGGAAGTCCACAAAATACTTCTAGTTCCTGTCAGGAAGGTAGATTTGGAGGGCAAGGAAATCAATCTAGCTGCACTCAGTCAGGTTATCAAACAGGAAGTAGTGGAAGACAAGATCGTGGATGTATCTCGGGAGGTCAGTCCTCTGGATATGGTCAACATGAGCCTAGCTTCTGTAGTCAGTCTTCTAGTCAAAGAGGATACGGATCTAGAGCATGTGGTCAGACACAGAACTGTGGAAGACAACAGAGAACAGGTTCAAGTCAGTCCTCTTGCTGTGAACAATATGGGTCTGGAACAAGTCAGTCTTCTAGTTATGGTCAACATGGATCTGGTTCTTGTGGACACTTTTCAAACTCTCATCAAAAAGGGTCTGGTTCAAAGGAATTTTCTAAATGTGGACAACATGGATCTGGCTCATGTCAGTCCTCTGGCTTTGGACATGGCTCTGGCTCATGCCAGTCCTCTGGCTTTGAACAACATGGGTCTGGCTCATGTCAGACCTCTGGCTTTGGACAACATGGGTCAGGATCAGGTCAATCCTCTGGTTTTGGACAACATGGGTCAAGCTCAGGGCAATCCTCTGGCTTTGGTCAGCATGGGTCTAGTTCAGGACCGTCCTCTGGCTTTGGCCACCATGGATCCAGCTCAGGTCAGTCCCCTGGCTTTGGTCAGTATGGGTCTGGATCAAGTCAGTCCTCCAGCTTTGGCCAACATGGGTCTGGCTCAGGTCAATCCTCTGGTTTTGGCCAACATGGGTTTGGCTCAGGTCAATCCTCTGGTTTTGGCCAGCATGGATCCAGCTCAGGTCAGTCCTCTGGCTTTGGTCAGTATGGGTCTGGATCAAGTCAGTCCTCCAGCTTTGGCCAACATGGGTCTGGCTCAGGTCAATCCTCTGGTTTTGGCCAACATGGGTTTGGCTCAGGTCAATCCTCTGGTTTTGGCCAACATGGGTCTGGCTCAAGCCAATCCTCTGGCTTTGGACAACATGAGTCTGGCTCAGGTCAGTCCTCTGGTTTTGAACGATATGGGTCTGGCTCAGGTCAGTCCTCTGGTTTTGGACAACATGGCTCTGGTTCAGGCCAGTCCTCTGGCTTTGGCCAGCATGGGTCTGGCTCAAGCCAGTCCTCTGGCTTTGGACAACATGGGACTGGCTCAGGTCAGTCCTCTAGTTTTGGACAACATGGCTCTGGCTCAGGTCAGTCCTCTGGTTGTGGACAACATGGCTCTGGCTCAAGCCAGTCCTCTGGCTTTAGACAACATGGGTCTGGCTCAGGTCAGTCCTCTAGTTTTGGACAACATGGGTCTAGCTCAAGACAGTCCTCTGGCTTTGGCCAGCATGGGTCTGGTTCAGGTCAGACCTCTGGCTATGGACAACATGGATCCAGCTCAGGTCAGTCTTCTGGCTTTGGCCAATATGGGTCTGGCTCAGGTCATTCCTCTAGTTTTGGACAGCATGGGTCTGGCTCAGGCCAATCCTCTGGCTTTGGTCAACATGGGTCTGGCTCAAGTCAGTCCTCTGCCTTTGAACAACAAGGGTCTGGTGCAGGTCCATTTTCTAGCTCTGGACAACATGGGTCTGGGACAGGTCAATCCTCAGGCTCTGGACATGGATCTAGCTCACAACAGTCCCCTAGCTTTGGGACTGGCTCAGGTCATTCTTCTGGCTTTGGACAACAAGAGTCTAGATCAGGTCAGTCTAGCTGTGGTCAACACTGTTCCACTTCAATGCAATCCTCCAATTTTGGCCAAGGATCCTGCTCAGGAAAGTCCTCTAACCCTGATCAACATGCTAGCACAAGTCAGTCTTCTACTTATGATCAACATGGGTTTAGCTCAGGAGAATCTTCTGGATATGAACAACATGAATCTAGGGTAAGGGGAAAAGAAAGCTCTCACACTAGTTCAGGAAAAGAGGGTCCAAAACATGGAAGACCCATATCAGATTCAGCCCACACTCAGATAAGAGAAACAGGCCCAAAGAAAACTACTCAGAGGGATAATGAGAGAAACAAGAGACACAGTACAACAGCAAAAGAGACTGAAGATCATGACAGCATTCATGGACATAGCCAACAAAGGCAAGGATCAAGTCAGGACAGAAGGACTTCTACAACACAGGACACGAAACATAACCACAAAAATGACAGTCAAGCCCAGACAGATAAATGGGAGACATATTCAGCAACTACCCGGGAGCATTATGAAAATGACCATGAAAAATCAGGAGGAATTCCCACAGGTAAAAATGAAAGATCTACTCAGAGACAGGCAGGAGACAACACAAGACGTGCCCATTCTGGCCATGGACAGGCCACCAGGACAGAATCCAGTAGAACCCGAAAAACGGGATCTAGCAGCAGTGAGTCCAGGGACAGGGGAAGGCTTTCAGGAGTCCCACAGACACAGACAGGGTCCCCTCATGGCCATGCTGGATCTCAACATGGAGAGTCGAGATCCACACAGGAAGGAAGACAGACAACTACTCACAGACAGGCAGGAGACACCACTAGACATACCCAGTCTGGGCATGGACAAGCCACCAGGTCAGAATCCAGCAGGACTGGAAGAAGAGAATCCAGTGTCAGTGAGTCCAGTGACAATGAAAGGCACTCAGGAGTCCCACAGTCACAGGCAGGGTCCCCTCATGGCCACCCTGGATTCGAACAGGGAGACTCAGGATCCACCCATGAAGGAAGATGGGAAACTACTCACAGAACGCAAGGAGACACCACTAGGCAACCTCATTCTGGTCATGGACAGGCCACCAGGAGAGAAGCTAGCAGGACCCAAAGAAGCAGATCCAGTGTGACCGAATCAAGTGACAGGGAAAGGCACTCAGAACTCCCACAGACACACACAGAGTCCCCTCATGGCCAGGCTGGATCTCAGCATGAAGAGTCAGGATCCATCCGTGAAGGAAGACAGGGTACTACTCACAGACAGCAAAGAGACACCACTAGACATACACTGTCTGGTCATGGACAGGCCACCAGGAGAGAATCCAGTAGTACAGGAAGAACAGGATCTAGGAGCAGTGAGTCCAGTGACAGGGGAAGGCCTTCAGGAGTCCCACAGACACAGGCAGGGTCCACTCATGGCCATGCTGGATCTCAACATGGAGAGTCGGAATCCACCTGGGAAGGAAGAACAGAAACTACTCACAGACAGCAAGGACACACCACTAGACAAGCTCATTCTGGTCTTGGACAGGCCACCAGGACAGAATCTAGCAGGACCCAAAGAAGCAGATCCAGTGCCAGTGAATCGAATGCCAGGGAAAGGCACTCAGGACTCCCACAGACACACACAGAGTCCCCTCATGGCCAGGCTGGATCTCAACATGGAGAGTCGGGATCCACCCGGGAAGGAAGACAGGGAACTACTCACAGACAGGCAGGAGACACCACTAGACATACCCAGTCCACTCATGGACAAGCCACCAGGTCAGAATCCAGTAGGACTGGGAGAAGAGAATCCAGTGTCAGTGAGTCCAGTGACAGTGAAAGGCACTCAGGCGTCCCACAGTCACAGGCAGGGTCCCCTCATGGCCATGCTGGATTTCAACATGGAGAGTCAGGATCCACCCGGGAAGGAAGACAGGGAACTACTCACAGACAGCAAGGAGACACCACTAGACATGCCCAG